AAGAGTGTAAACTGTTTCAAATGAACATTTGGAATGGGTGTGTCCCTGAGCCATATATATTTCCTTTTAAAAATTATTTATTTTATGTGTATGAGTGTTATGCCTGCACGTGTGTAAGTGCACCTGTAGTGTACTATACAGGTGCATTTTACATATATGCAAACTATACACCATCCACATAAAATAAGAATAACACCCCCCACAACTTTAAAGGTGTGCATCACAATTTCTAACTTCAGGTCTTTCTCTTTCTCTGTATAAACTTGTGCCAACTTCCCTCCCAGCTGCCCCTCCCTGGCAACCCCTGGACTATGGTACTTCATGGGTTTTTGATAGTGGTGATGTCAGCTGCTAACAGAAACCAAGAATAGACATTGACCCATTTTCTGTTGGTGATAAGGAATTTCAAGCACAAATATTCCAGGCTTTGGTGTGGAAGGGGTGCTCAGAAGGTATAAGACTGGAAAATGTTTGCTTTTCAGCTGGCTACAACAGTCAGTGTGTTAGTCAGGTTTGTTGCTGTGACAGAACACCTGACAGAAACAACTAAGGCAGGAGACATTAATTTTGCTTAATTCATCATGTCAGGGAGGATGTGGAGAGTAGCTCTCGTCATGTAGGCAGGAAGCAGAGGGGAGCCACAACAGAAAAAGGTCAGGGAATGTAGAGTCTCTAAGGACCTACCCTGGGTGACCCCACTTCCTCCCAGCAGGCCTTTACTTTCCACAGCTCCACCACCTCTCACTAGTCTTTTTTTTTTCCTTCCCCAGGCAGCTCCCCTGTCCACTCCTCCCCTCCCATTGGCACCGTGCAAAGAGAAGCATCATTCTTTAACTTTCCACAATTTTCTTTTTTAAAAAAATTTTTGAATAGGGTCTCCCTGTACCTCCAGCTAGCCTGGAGCTCGCTGTATAGACCAGGCTGGCCTTGAACTCACAGAGATCCGCCTGCCTCTGCCTCCCAAGTGCTGGGATGCTGGGATTAAAGGCGTAGGCCAGCACAGCGGCCACAATTTTCAATTTTTTTTTTGTCTTTTTGAGACAGGGTCTCCCTGTAGCCCCAGATGACCTGGAACTTGCTATGGAGACCAGGCTGGCCTCGAACTCACAGAGATCTGCCTGCCTCTGCCTCCTAAGTGCTGGATTAAAGGCATGTACCACCACTCCC